ATGGATCGAGGCGACGCTTCTCCCTTTCCGGATTCCGATTTTCTCCCCTAAAATCAGGGTGTTTTTTTTTCCCCCTTCTTCTTCTTCCTCTCCCCGCAGCGGAGCTCGATCGAAGGGGAATTTTGGAAAGTGTTTGCTCTCAGCCGAAGGGGGGGGGGGAAGAAGGAAGGAGTGTTTATTTATTTTCTCCAATTTTTTTAGCTTTTTTTAAAAAAATGCAAGCGTGGCTTGTTGATGAAGCGCACGGATTTGGGATTTATTTTTGAAAACGATTCCTCCCACTTTCCCAAAAAATCTCCCTTCACCCGCAACAATCCCGGCTCAAAACAACCCCTGCCCCCCCTCGCTCCCTCCTTCCCTCCCTCCTCCCTTCTTCTGTCCTTCCAATTCCTGGATGAACCCATTGCTCTCGCCCAAGCGCTGGCAAAAAAAAGCAAGCAAGCTCCGGAAAACCTGCGAAAGGCAATCCCGGCTCCAGCCCAGCGTTCGATCCAGTCGCCCGACGCAGCCGGAGAAAGCGCCGCCGCCAAGACTCTCCAGCCTTCTTGCCTGCTCCCAGCCCGCCGCCTCCGTCGCCTGATTTTTAGGATCGCCAAGAACTACGGATCCCTTTTCAGGAGAAGCCTAAGGAGGTTCATTCCCGATTATTATTATTTGAAGGGGGGGGGAGAAATCTTTTTTTAAAAAAATCTGAACCCCCTCTTCTTCGCTCGGCCGTTTAACCCCCTCCGTGCAAATTTCATTTTATTGCATTTATGATTCTTTAATTGAAGGGGAGGGAAGCCAGCGGCGCGTGTTTTCGGGGGGGGGGAGGAGGTCACGTCCAACATCTGGCTGGATCTCTCCTTCTGAGGAGGGGAGGGGTTTGCAGCTGGCTTCATTCCCCCCCCTCCCCGCCTTCCTATGAATTAAACCCGTCCAATCGGGGGTGGCTCCTTGGACTTTTATTATCTACACGGCGATGCTGCCACCGAGGCTGCCCGGGCCGGTGGCGTCCCGAATTCATCTCGCCTTGTGACTGCCGAAATCTTCTTCTTGTCTCCCTTCCTCCATCCCAGGACAAGCCCCCCCCCTTTTAAAAAAAATATATTTTTTGCATTTGACACATACACAAAATGAACCCAAGGCCCTTTCCTCCAGCCTTCCAGAAGCTCTCTATTTATTTTCTTTTTTTCGCTCTGGCCGCGAAGGATTGGACCGGCTCGGTGGGAAGATCGGAAGCGTAAATCAATTTTTTTTTCGTGAAAAAGCTCTCCTGGGCAATCTTCTCTCCCCCCCTTCTTCTTCTTGCTCCAGTTCTTTTCAAAGCCGGCTCGCCCTCTCTTTGATCCAACCTTCCCCCCCTTTTTTTTTAAATCAGTTTTTTCTTCTTCCGATTTTGAACGAGACACCCGGCACCATGATCCTGGTGCGCAAATTCCGCGTCCTGATCCTGATGGTCTTCTTGGTCGCCTGCACCCTCCACATCATGATCGATCTGCTCCCC